TTTGATCTTTCTTCTCAGAATAAATTCGCAATGCTATAGATGTTGTTGATGGGGTTATTGCCATAGCTTCGTGACGAACTCATTCCAAATATTTAAAGAACATCATCATTGGTTATGGGGAAGTCATTATGAGTCCCTTATGGAGCCAAAGTCATTTACTAGGGAAGAATGGACACCCAATTATACTCCATGTTATTATGACTGTTAGTGAGTTTAAATAACATGATCAATATACTAGTTATTGTAAACTAAGTGCATATCTAAATGAACCCACTAGAAGTTTTTGAGTTAATATGGATTGAGACTCTACTAGTTTCAAGTTTTTAATCTCAAGCATTTCACATTGAAATTAAGTTATATAAATTTTAAGTAACATGTCCTACTGTTGACTTTGGGGATTGTGACTTTGGGCGATCAAGTCATTAATAAGAGTACACGTTTTAGATATCTTAGATCTATTGTTCAAATTGATGGGGATATTATTAGCAGAATTCAAGTTGGATGGTTGAAGTGGAGGAATGCATTGGGCTTGTTATGAGATAGAAAAGTCCCCCCTCAGCCTTAAGGGAAAATTCTATAAGATGGTGATGAGACCTGCAATGCTTTATGGTGTCGAATGTTGGCCATTAAAAGAGAAGCATAATATTAAGTTAAGTTTTACAGAGATGATGATACTTAGGTGGATGAGTGGCTTGACCCTTGGAGATAGGATACGAAATGAGCATATACATGAAAAAGTTGGAGTAGCTCCAGTGGAAGATAAGATTAGAGAGAGTTTCCTTAGATGGTTTGGTCACATTAAACGGAGGCCTTCCGATGACTCGGTTAGGAAAGTTGAGATATTATATTTGACTTATTTTAAGAAAGAGGTAGACCTAAAAAGACTTGGTTAAAAAATATTAGAAATGACCTTTATTTATTAGATTTAAATGAGAATTACTTTTAACTGGACACAATGGCGAAAAAGAATTCATGTAGCCGACCCCACGTAGTGAGACAAAGGCTTGATGTTGTTGTTGTTGT